ATTTCAGATAGAGACGTACGGTTTACTTCCAGGTTTTGGAAGAAGTTCCATGACGAGCTGGGTACTCGTCTGCATTTTAGCACCGCTTTTCACCCGCAGACAGATGGTCAGAGTGAGCGGACCATCCAAACTCTGGAAGATATGTTGCGGGCGTGCGTGTTAGACTTCGGTGGTAGCTAGGATACTTATCTTCCTTTGGCCGAGTTCTCATACAACAACAGCTACCACGCGAGTATTGACCGTCCTCCCTTCGAGATGTTGTACGGGAGAAGGTGCAGGACCCCGATATGTTGGGGCGAAGTTGGCCAGAGGGTCATGGGGAGCACCGAAGTGGTGCTCAAGACGACCGAGAGGATTCAGCAGGTGCGGAGTAGGCTTCAGACTGCTCAGAGTCGGCAGAAAAGCTATGCCGACAAGCGCCGATCAGACCTGGAGTTCCAGGTCGGAGATATGGTTCTCCTGAAGGTGTCGCCATGGAAGGGCGTCATCCGATTCAGGAAGCGGGGCAAGTTGGGCCCTAGGTACATTGGACCCTTCAAGGTTCTAGCCCGGGTGGGCAAGGTAGCGTACCGGCTGGATCTGCCAGCCGAACTCAGTCAGATCCACAGCACCTTCCACGTCTCGCAGCTGCGGAAATACCTAGTGGACGACTCAGCGGTGGTGCCTTTAGAGGATATTCAGGTTGATGACAGCCTGAATTACATTGAGCGGCCAGTAGCAATCCTCGACCGGAAGTCGAAGGATCTGAGGAACAAGAGGGTGGAACTAGTAAAGGTGCAATGGCAGCACCGGAAGGGTTCGGAGTGGACTTGGGAACAGGTAGAAGAGATGAGGGAGCACTATCCCGAGCTTTTCCAGGAGCGAGCGGCAGACTTCGAGGACGAAGTGGGGGAGATTTGTAGCACCTGGTTCCTGGTATGTATTTTAATCTAAGTATTTTTGCATTTTAACTTGAACTCGGCGAGTTGTAGGCCCGACTCGCCGAGTAGTGACGAGATATCGAGCACGTTAAAGTTGGCGACTCGACGAGTCCATATTCTGGACTCGGCGAGTCCGCCAGTCTGGATGAAACCCTAATTTCAAAGGTTTGCACCCTATTTAAACATCTTTTTGTGCCTCATAACGGCCCCCATTACGCCCAGAACACCCCTCACGAAGCCCTAGCCCTTCTTTTAGTAATTTGAGTGCTTTTGGTGCAATTCCTTGAAGTTTTGGAGAAAAGAAAAAGGTAGATCAAGAGGAGAGGAAGAAGATCCAGAATCTTTGTGCCATTTCAGAGCTTCTAGAGGTATTAGACTCGAAACCCTCTCTGTTCCTTCATTATTATCTCACTAAGAGCTTAAGATAGTCATTTTAAGGCCTCTTCTAGTCTTGATCTTTGAGTAATGAGCTTATAGTGTTAAGGGACTTCAGATCTAGGCATGATTGAGCTCTAGGAGCTCGGATCTATTGCCTTTATGAGCCTAACTTGTGTATAAGTCCTAGATCTACTCTTCTAGTCCTTGTTAAGCCTCTTATTTCCCTTTTGATGCATGAATACACGTAAAGTTGGAAACTTTATGTGTAAAACCTACCCTAAGAACCCAGATCTATGAATGGAATGCATTGGATTCAAGCAGAATCGAGTATATAGTAATTCCATGCATGCGACTCGGCGAGTCGTTCTTCGGACTCGGCGAGTCGAGCCGCGAGTTCCCGATTTTTCCCCTTTTGAGTTACGCTGAGTGGGATCAGTGAGCTTTAAGTGGACTCAGTGAGTCGGAAGCCAGACTCAGTAATGGAGGGACTCGGCGAGTCAATGCCCTGACTCGGCGAGTCCAAGGCAATCTTATTGCCTCAAGAACAGACTCGACGAGTTGTTCATACAACTCGGCGAGTCACGGACCAGAGTGTTCATCGGATGAGGATGAACTCGACGAGTTGTTCATACAACTCGGCGAGTCGAATGAAGGACTATTGGATATCTGTATAGAATGAGAACTCGTCGAGTCAATGCCTAACTCGACGAGTAGGGACAGGAGTGAGGACAATCGACTGGATAGGGACTCGACGAGTTAGCGAGCCAACTCGGCGAGTCGGGTCAACTGGAAGTTGACTTTGACTTTGACTTTTGACTTGGTCAGGGGTAAAATGGTCATTTTACCCTAAGGACAGTTAGCAGTGTTTGATTGAGTGTTTCGTGGGAATTACAGCCGGAGGATTTCCGGAGCAGCAGCAACAGACAGGCAGTTCCCGCGCAGATCAGCAGCTACTTCGAGGTGAGTTACCTTCAAGTAGCGGTGGGTCTACGGCCACAATGCCGGCCCACCAGTAGGAGTTGTGTGTTAGATGATTGTCTTTGTGATATCATCTAGTTTTGCTACTACCTGATATGTTATATGCTAGTTTGATGTGTTATAGTAGTAGAGTTCGGTTGTTAGGACCGAAGGGTAGTCAGACACCCCAGATACGTCTGACAGTATGTGATGTCATGATTATATGCTAGCATGATCTGAGATATGTGTTAGGGGTAGTAGGAGGCGAACAGTCCCCGAGTTCGGTTGTTAGGACCGAAGGGTAGTCAGACACCCCAGATATGTCTGATAGTATGTCATGTTATGATATGTGATAGTAGTAGTGGTAGGGGTGAAACAGTCTCCGAGGTTTGGTTGTTAGGACCGAAGGGTGGTCGGCACCCCAGAATGGCCGCACGGGTAGGTCGGCACCCCAGAATGGTCGTACCGGGTAGGTCGGGCACCCCAGAAATGCCTAACAAGTATGGTATGTTATATGAATGTACTGTATGTTATATGATTGTATGGTATGTGGTATGTTGGGGGAACTCACTAAGCTTTGTGCTTACAGTTTTCAGTTTGGTTTCAGGTACCTCTTCATCAAAGGGGAAGGAGCTGGCGCGGTAGCGATACATCATACACATACACTATTTTCCGCCTTACGAGATTGTTCTGGGATTTGTACTCTGATATTCAGTTGATTTCGTATTTTGGTTTTTCAAACACGATATATGATTGTGGAATGATTTGATCAGACAATGTTTTATTTACAAATGTTTTCCGAAGTATTGATTTAAAAATGAAATTTTTGGACGTGAAAATTGGGTTGTTACAAGTAAAGTTTTCAAACAAAATTTTTGGGTTGTATTTTTGGGATGTTTCAATTTATGTGTAATTTGGAATGTGTTGATGGTTGTTTTATGTGTATAAAAATATGTATATATGTGTATGATGTATGTATGTGTGTATTTGTATGCAATTTGGAGTGTATTTGTATACAATGTGTAAACTACAATGTCATAATGGAAAAAAGAAACAAAAAACAAGTAGGACGCTATTATTGAAATGTTATTTAAAGTAAATTACTATAATAGTTCCTATGTAATGTGTATTTGTAGATAAATTGGTAATTATTAGTTTGTTGGTTTGTTAGTTTGATTGTTGGTTTAACTTAGAAGGTTAATGTTAGTTAGTTGGTTTGTTAATTTGATAGTTTGTTCATATATATAGATAAATTGGTAATTGTTAGTTTTCTTATCATTTGGTAATTTTTAGTTTGGTTTAAGTTAATAGGTTAACTTACAAGTTTATATATTGTTATTTACTATGTAGTTGGAGAATCTTCGATCAATGTCCAACGATTCGGAGTCAACTGTGGAACTTATAGGATGGAACAACGGTGGCGGGGATGATGACATGTCGTATTAGTTTTATCTTTTATTAGAGATTGTAGTATGACATAAATTTATAAGAATTTTGTTATTTATTTTGGTGTATGTACGGTATTATAAAACTTGGATGTTATGTAATCGTTTTTCTGCATTTAACGTTATTACGTATCGGTTTTTGGATAGCCGAGAATGGTTGCTTTAAAAAAAAGGCAATAGCGGCGACGTTATTAGCGGCGATATAGGGCATTAGCGGCGACTAGAACATTAGCGGCGACAAGTAGCATTAGCGGCGACACGTAACATTACCGGCGACTTTTTGAGCAATAGTGACAGTACAGTAGCGGCGACGTGTCGCCGGTAAAGGTATTAGCAGCGACTTTGGTGAGCAATAGCGGTGATTTTTGTCGCCGCAAATACCCTTTTTTCTTGTAGTGATAGTCAGTATTTGGGTTTACGGGTCAACTCATCAACCTTTTACCCGAATCTGACCCATGAACCCGAGTCTAACCATCAAATCCGGATAATTAAATAGGTTAGGGGTCGTATCTGGGTTGATTTTCCAACTCGCCAACCTGTGACACAAATATAATTATATGGGTCTTGTACCCGTTGATGCATTCTCAACCCGCCAACTCGAGCACCAGTGGTTAGTGCAAGACAAAATCTCAGTGGTGGCATACATGATTTTAAGAGTGACATGCCGGAAAATTTATATCACTATGGAAAATTTTCGAAAAAAGTTACACTGTATTTTAATATTAGAGGGATTGCACCGGCCACCCCGGAGCTATGTCCACCATTACCGAACACGATAGGATTGTCACTCCTATGTCCACCATTACCTAAATACTAAATAAATTATGATAGTTACATTTACATCTTCCAAAAAATGGGTTGTGATCTTTTCCCAGGACCACTAGTAGTTGGGAAAAATATCAACACAATTATAAAAGGAACAAAATCCATATCAAATCTCGAGATCCTCTTATTACCAACAAGTTAGAACCTCATAGCCCCGCCAGTAATAAAATTTGAAGACGCGTTCAAGACACACGACGATGGAATTGGATTCTTAAACAAAACTTTAGTGAACTCATTCAACTACAACTATAAGCGACTACTTTCCTTTAATCATAAACCCCATAATATATCTTCAAGTTTGACTTTAGATTAAAAAAACGTTATGTATTTATGTCTGAACATGTTTGACTATAAATTATTTAAAAAAAAAACACGCGGAAGGAATTGAAATAGAATAGAGTATTTGTATTTTCCCCAAGTCAAGGAGAACATGCTGCTTATAAGTAATAAGTTATAACATGAATCTTTTAGTCGGCCCGACTTCAGATTTCATCTGCCACCCTCAAAGGTCAAAACACAGCTAATTTTATATAAACAATTAGTTGACTCAAATCTCTATATAAACTCAACATCTTATAAAGCAAACAACATCAACGGCAGGCTTTATCTTCTCTCTCTTACCACCATTCATCATCATCATCCTTTACAAAACCTACAACCAACGGAAAAAGACCAAACTAATCGGCGAAACAATTACAGAGCTCAAAAGTCAAAGCAAGAAACTGTTCAATAACTTTTCTCCAACCCAGAATCAGAAAGCATGGCAAACTGTTCAAAAAAAGACTCATGGGATATCACCAACTGTGGCGGTAAATGGAGCTTCAGCTAACAAGTTTTCATGTTGAATGAGTTTAAATTGGCAATAAGTTCATCACCAGCTTATTTAGTTTAGTTAATGGGAAAGAATTCAATCATGGAGAAACAAGGGGAATCCCATGAATGCCTTCAAAAAAAGCTCTTGCTTTTTTGTTTCAAGCGATACCCGAAGACATAGTGTTGCAAATGGCAGCTCAAGTTGGGGGTAAGCTCACGGCCAACTTCATCAGTAGAGTTAATGGGAAGGAACTCCATCATGGAGAAACAAGGAGACTCTCATCGTTGCCTTCATGGAATCATCACTTCCACCCTCAGCATTACCGGACTCCAGGCTATGGTGCCAAGAATGTGCAGCTCAATTCAGAAACATCTTCAGAAAAACTGGCAACACAATAAAGAAATTAGTCTGTATCGATCCACAAAAATGCTTACTTTCACCATCGTGCTTGAATGCTTGTTTGGGATTGGGATTGAACCAGAGACGTTGTTTGGTGTTTTTGAGCGTGTCTTGGAAGGCGTTTTATCTCCTCCGGTGAATTTTCCGGGGAGTAAATTCTCAAGAGAAAAGAAAGCAAGAACAGAGATAGAAAAGGTATTGATTACTGAGGTGAGAGGAAAGAGAGAGGAAATGGAAGGTGGGAGAGATGAAGAAGACGGCATGCTATTTTCTAAGTTGGTGGCTGCGTTGATCAGAGATGAGATTACAGAAGACGAGGTTGTTGATAACGTGGTTTTATTAGTCTTTGCAGCTCATGATACCACATCTTATGCCATTACGATGACGTTTAAGATGCTCGCGACCTACCCAGACTGCTACTCTCTTCTACTAAAAGGTACCATCGCATCATTTAATTCCTTATCTTCCCCTTTTTCATGAAGTTATACTCATGATCAAGTGATTAATATATGGTTTTCTTGCGTTTATCTTATAATCTGATTCCCAGAACATGAAGACATTGCAAGAAACAAAAAGCCAGGTGAATATTTGACGCTTGAAGATGTGAAGAAAATGGAGTATACATGGCAAGTAGCTCGTGAGACCATGCGACTCTGCCCTCCCATCTTTTGGTTCCTTCAGAAAAGCAACAACTGACATTGAATTCGAAGGATTTACAATTCCCAGAGGCTGGAAGCTATAACTTATATGATGATAATATCCTTACTTTTATTCACACTCACATGTCACACACATACACATGAAGATAGCTTGGATTCACAAGTATCTAATAACAGAAGGCGTATTGTGTTTCTCTGATGCGGTGGTGAGCAGGTGCTTTGGACTACATACAGAACACATTATGATGAAAGGAGCTTTCCGGATCCAATGAGTTTCAACCCGAGTAGATTTGCAGATCCAGTTCAAGCTTACGCTTTTATACCATTTGATGGAGGACCTAGGCTATGTGCAGGCTACCAACTGGCGAAGCTCAATATTCTTGTTTTGGTGCATCATGTTGTAACACAATATAACTGGTCGTTGTTAGACCCCGAGGAGCCAATATTCATGGATCCACTCCCCAGGGACGGCTCAACGAGTTTGGGGGCTCTAAGCGAACCAAAAATTTGGGGCCCTTTGACATTTATTATACTTAGGTAATTGAGTTAACGGTATGTGACACCAAAAATATAAATTCAAAACTTTTTCTATTTTGTATGTTATATTTCTAATGAAATCAATTATATACATATCTAATTGAAATCTCACATGGAATTCCACATGAATCTGTGTCAATAATCAGAACCAAACATTGTCAAATACTATCACATGTTAATTTATTATGAAAAAAAAAATCATTCATCAGATTGCAAATAAGATTATAAGGTTAATATATTATGAAAAAAAAAAATCATTCATATGTAGTCTGCCAATGTCAAAAGTATAGGCTGGGATTAATAACTTACAAGACTGACTTGATAGTCGGTAAATCCTAATATCCTATGTATCGGTTCTTCAGTTCTATAACAGTATCACAGTTCATTGAAGCTTGAAAAATCAAAAATTTGTGGTCGTGTAAACTGTAATGTCCATTGTCAAAAGATTAACCCTAATTAATTGGCTATTAACCCCAATTAGATAAAGAGATAATAGAAAAATCAAAACTGAAATGTGAAAATGCATATTACCTTTTCTGCGTTTCAGTGAGAGCAGATGAGAATTGAGAAATTGAGAAGAATAGTTGCTGCCTGCTGATCGGCTGATCGCCACTCGCCAGATCATCAACAGAAACGAGAAGGCGAGATTAGAATGAAGATTAAAGAAGCAAGAAGAACCGGAGAGTGAAGACAGCAGCGATCGCTTGCTTGATTGCTTGAACCCTTGAATCAATTAGAGAAGGGAGGAAAAGAACAGAAGTTTAATCGCCGTGTGAATTGATTCGATCTTGCAGCGTGATTTTTTGGAAACGAGAAGCTTAGATTGAAATTAAACGGGGCCCCTTGCAATTGGGGCCCTAAGCCCTATCTTAACTCATTAAACTATAAGGCCGGGCCTGCCACTTCCATATCCTTCTAAGGGGATGCCTATAAGAATATCTCCCAAGTCTGATAATTACTAGCTCTTCTCTCTCCCTCTTTGTAAACCTTGCTAATATTATTTTTTTTGTTAGTGTACTAGTGTGTTTGTCGTGTATGTTTTATGACTTTTATCTATAGCACATGTATATGGCCCATTGTATAGACTCCCCATTGTGTGTATTCATGTATTGTATTGTTCCTTGATATGCAATGAGAATGATACGTACCATTCAAACATCATTATGGTATCAGAGATGCTTTCCTAAAATCACTCGATCCATCCCTCTATTTCCTTTCTACAGTCGACGCCTCCTTCTTCCACCTTTAGAACCTTACTATTCTTCTTCCTCTGTCATCATCTATGTCGACCCCTAACCCCCCTCCTCACAAAGCCTTTTATGTTGCAAACATCAAAACTTATGTTCCTCTTATTCTTGATCACGAAAAAGGGGAACTATGACTCTTGGAGGGAGCTCTTCACCACTCAGTGTGAAGCATATGACACGATTGAACATATTGATGATACATATGATGAACCAAATGTAAAGCAAATCGATCCACAATGGAAGAAAGTAAACGATGTGGTAAAAGGATGGATATATTCGTCTCTCTCATAAAACCTTCTCAACAACATCACCAAGAAGGACACTAATGCTCGTCATGTATGGCTGAACATAACGCTTCTTTCGTGACAACTAGGATTCTCGAGCAATTCAACTGGACAACAAACTTCGAAATATATCCATGGGGGACCTCAATGTTGCTTCTTAGTGCTTAAAAATAAAATCAATCGTTGATCTTCTTGAGAATCTATCTCCCGACGCCAAAGTACCTGCCAAGAATGTTGTTATTTACACCATCAATGGTATTTCCCACGATTTGACAATGTCGCTAGCATAATCCGCCACCGGACTTCATTCATTTCCTTTGATGAAACAAGGTCCATTCTAATGTTGGAAGAACAACACATATTATTTACTCGAGGCTCTACCGTGTCCGCTCATGGAGATCACGCTTTGTCTCCAACCCTCCTTAATACTACCTCCACCAAAAATAAAAAGGGGGTACAACCACCAATCAGATCGCCAACAACAGCAACCCAATCGACGTCAACAACAACAATAGGGACACATCAAAAGAGGCGCCAAATTCAGCGGTGGAAATTTCAGTCAACGACCACCCCAGCAATATGGGTGGGTCTTTATTATGGGTTTTGAGCATAAGATACAATTCTATGTGTGTATGCAACCCTAATTGAAGATTTACGTTTTCTCTAATTGAACATACAATAATGAACAACAAAGTATAAACCCTAAATCCATAGTGTATAAACGAAATTCACATAATAAAGGGTTATAATACATGCCTTTAAGATTGTTATTGTAAACAATCTTGAATCTTTGTTTGAAAGACATTTGGTAGCAAATTCCACAAGTGTCGCGCCTCTAATGGGTCACAAACAAACTCAAGCAACCAATGAATACTATATATAGAGAGAGTAATAAAAGAGAAATTCCGGCCCTTAGGCTCTTGGAGGAGTTATCACCGAAATTTAACCCTTAGAAGGGTTTATATAGGTGTTAGGAAGGTATTGGATAATGCAGGTGTATCCAAGATAAACCTAATCCCTTAACTTCCTCCCTAAGACATCCAAGGCACCCTTAGAGCCCAAGGAAACCCTAGAGATCATCTTGAATTCGTTCCCCCTACTATAGGGAGGTTCTAGAATTACCCAATGCTCAACTATTGAAAATTTTTCACCTTTAGTCCCTGTAGTTTTAATTAATTCTTTTTAATCCCAAAATTAATTCCAAATTAATTTCTGATCAAATATTAATTAAACAATATGATTTCTAATTAATATATTATTTCCATAATACATTAATAAATAATTTATTTTGATTTCTAATTAATTTATTAACCAAGTAATAAATTAATAATACATTCTTCTCTCTCTAATATCCATCCTATTCAATTGTCAGGTTTGAAGGCAACCCAAAAGGACTGTGCTACTATCAATTCAAGTTTATACCAATTATAGTTATGGGCTTAGTGTCACAACTAACATTTTTAGCTAGGAAATTATGTCCTCATGTAAACATCAACTATTGTAAGACTTGTACTAGCACGTTAAAGTTTATATTATGGTTACTAATGAACCATGTATTGTTATAATGCAAAGCATATATGTCTCTCAAATCTCTCCCAAATCTCTCTATGTATCTCAAATCTCTCCCAAATCTCTCTATGTACCTCAAATCTCTCTCTAATCTCCTAATGTAGTTTCCTTAGTCAAAACCAACTTAAAACGAAAGGAGAAAACTTGAAAGAGAAAGCACAGTTCGGAACCCCTTAAATGACTTCGGACCCTCCCATCCGGGCAATCTCGCTTCGGAACCATCTTGATCCGGAACCTCCTGTTTTGCTCCGGAATGCCTCGCATACTCCGGAAGACTTCGCAGCTTCGGACCTTCTAGGAGAACTGGACAGCTTCGCACTTCGGACCGGAAGTTTTTGTTGCCTCGGAACCCTCGCAACCTCGGGAGAAAATGGTTCCGGAATCCGGATAAGAGCTGACTTCGGAACTAAGGGCTTGACTCCGGAATTTATGGAATTACTCTGGAACCTCTTGAACCCACTCCGGAATTTGAGGTTGACTCCGGAACTCACCATTTGACTCCGGATTTTGGACCATTTCGGACTTTTTCTTCATTTAAGGTATTTTGACGTCGGGAATCCCACCCCTTAAACCCCTATTTTATGCCAAATTTGATTATTTAAAACTTATTTACATAAAATAATACTTAAGATTTATAAAGATATTATTTTAAGTCATGATGAGAATAAGATAAGGATAAGAGGGTTTGACTTTGTGATTTGATGTAATTCCTATTCTCCATGCAAATCACAGTAACTCATGCATTACCCACCAAATAACAATGCTTTGAACCATCAGATTTCCATGCACATAATTTCCCCCCTTTTCCTTATCCCCTTACAGCAACGACATAAGAGAGAGCTTTAAACTTCACCATTTCTCTTACTTCTCTCATATTTTCTCTAATACTCCTCTCAAGAGCAAGAACAAGGATCTTGTTAAAGGCTAAATTCCTCAAGTTCGCCTTAGAGTTCTTAAGTAAGTTCTTCCACCCATCTAGTATTTTATGTAATTTTCAAGATAAATTCACATTATTTTTACCCATAATAATATGTGAGAAAAACTCTTAGGACAACATTCCTTCCAAGGAAGTTCCTCAACTCATCCAAGAGTTTAAGCTAGAGATTTTCACCCCATCACTCCAATCAACTCATCAACCAACTCAAGGTGAGCTTCATACCTCTACTTTTTCGAGTTTTTACTGTTTTTGGGGGAGAATGCAAGTCAAAACCTTGTTTTAAACCTTGATATATATATATATATATATATATATATATATATATATATATATATATATATATGCTTGTTATGCTTGTATGTTAAGTTATATGTGCTAAAGTTATGAAAACTCCAAGAATTCGAAATCTTGAGCAAGTCTCAAGAGTTTGAATCATATTTCACAGATTATGTAAAGAAACAAG